ACGAGCTTATAGAAAAATTTTAAAAATTAACCTCTAACACATAGTATTATTAAGATGTATTTTGTGCAGTTTTGAGTTCATTCTTAATTTTATGATAGATTCATGAAGAGGGGCAAACTATGGATCATGGCACCCCAAATTCATTCAAGACGCTTTCCTGGAATTGAAAATAAAGCTGATGCAACATACCAACAATATGGCAAGTTTTTCTGTTCTAGAAAGTACTGCTTAAAAAACCTTGATTGCCTATCGTCTAAATAAAACTTAAAAAATATATATGGGGGCAGTGCGCCTGTGTGGCTCAGTCGGTTAAGTGTCTGACTCTTTTTTTTTTTAACTTTTTTAAAAGATTTTATTTATTTATTTGACAGAGAGAGAGACAGCCAGAGAGGGAACACAAGCAGGGGGAGTGGGAGAGGGAGAAGCAGGCTTCCCGCGGAGCAGGGAGCCTGATGCGGGGCTCGATCCCAGGACGCTGGGATCGTGACCTGAGCCGAAGGCAGATGCTTAATGACTGAGCCACCCAGGCATCCTGAATGTCTGACTCTTCATTTCTGCTCAGGTCATGATCTCAGGGTCCTGAGATTGAGCCCTTCATCAGGCTCTGCACTTAGCAGGGAGTCTGCTTGAGATTCTCTCTCTCCCTCTGCTTCTCTCCGCACATGCCTGCATGTGCACTTGTGTGTGCACTCTCTCTCTCTCTCTCTCTCTCATTCTCTCTCTCTGTAAAATAAATCAATCAATCTTTTTTTAAAAAAAATATATATGTGGGAATTATCTAAAAAATCTTGGGGTATTATGGTAATTTTTCCTTCTAGGTTTCTCATTTTCCAGTCATTATGCAATAAATTTATTACTTTTTTGTATATTACTTTTTAAATCAGAAAACATTGTTTAAGAATATATAATAACTTATACTTTAGTGTTTGAGGGTAACAAGGTGAGGCCAGGCTGCTTTAAAAATAGACTTTTTGCTCCACTTGTTTAAATATTAGGGATCTTTAAATATATTGCAATTTCTTGTTGTTAAAACCACGAAGGTCCCATTTTCTCTAGTTTGTTTTCATTTCCATTATTCATTGCCAAGCAATCCAGATTTTTCCCTTTTCAAAGACGTTTGGGCAGGGATGGGCTAGAATGGGTGTTCTATTCCTGGTTGTTTTCTCTTGCAGTTCTGGTTAAATCCGGCGGAGGTGGACATCCCAGTAACCACTCTTTTTAACAAAGCACAATAAAATTATAATTCATTAGAAAGTGAACCCAGGGGCCACCTGGGTGGCTCAATTGGTCAAGCATCCAACTCTTGGTTTGGGCTCGGGTTGTGATCTCAGGGTTGTAAGATTGAGCCCCCCGTTGAGCTCCATGCTCTCAGCGGAAACTGCTTGAGTTTCCCTCTCTCTCTCCCTCCATCCCATTCTTGCTCTCTCTCTAAAATAAATAAAATCTTTTTTAAAAATTAGAAAAAAAAGGAAAGTGAGCCCAGAAAATTAAGTCTTGACTTTCAGATGTCATCCTCAAGTAAGAATTAAAAAGAATTTCCTTTTTCCTTGCAGATTCTATTTCTTTCTTTAGGGGATCCACGCAGGATGAACACAGCCATCTCTGTGGAGTGTGTGGTTCAGACGTGGGCAGTCAGTGTGCCCGTAAACTGCTGGGCTTCTGCTTGGCAGCTGCAGCTTCTGACCTGAGTCCTTCTGCACTCGGCACCTGACCTGGGGATGACGCCATGGCTGTGCATTAGCGGGTCAGTGGGGTGCTCATGTCCGTGATCGAGTCTTTACGTTCTAGGTTCGTGCTTCTGTTTATGGGCATACTGCCTGCCCCGGGGGGGGGGGGGGGGGGGGGGGAGTGGTGCGGAAATTCAGAAACTAGAACAAAGCAACCATCAAAGGGTATTTACAAAAACCATTACTACCTGCACTTGCACAGTCAGATCACTGGGCTTTCAGAAAAATAAAGATACTAAGTGTCATTGTCAACATTGTTAATGTACAACACTCTAAACTGAAGCCAAAACTTTTATCCTAAATGTTCTTTGGCTTACAGAATTTTCATAATTTTTATCCAACTCCAATGGCCTTTGTTCCTATTTTTCTTGGTCTGGAACCACCCCCCATGCTTTACTCAGGGGTTGGTCATGGACATTTCTGATTCTCTCTTGAGTGATGTTTTGGACTTAGATGATGACGTCTGTTTTAAAAAGTCCCATATTGCTTATGTCTGAATCAGCAGGAGATACACATTTCTTATTCAGTCCAGTTTTGTTTGCTCATTCTACAGGTTTTCACATTTCCAGGGATCCAGTAGGCTTGTGAGAAGCATTTGTAAATACCAGCTCAGCCTCATTATGTTAAAGGTGTCCCTTGAAACCACAAACCACTTCACCAGTCCTAGCCAGAAGGCCTGGCTTTCATTCTCACAGTTAACAGCCTGAGATAAGGACTTGTGTGGACGAGAGATTTACCAACACATTTCCAGGTGATGACACATCCTGATCACCAGATAAGCTCACTCCTCTGAGAACAGTAGCGACAGACAAGCAATCCGATTCTTTCCTGAAGGAATCAATTTCTATTTTAATCTTCCGGACGACTTTTATTTACCTTACTCAGAACACTACCGAATGTGAATAGCATGTTCTCTCTGACCTGTGTGTGTTTTTTATTTTGCACTGTGTATGTTCTTAGGTGAAATGAGAAACTAATAAAACACTAATGCTGTCTGATAATAAGCATCATTTTTGAAGTTGATAAAAACAGTTATTTTGTTAATAAATAAACATTTATTTGTTTTCATTGTTCATTGAAAATGTGTTCTTTGCAGGGAGATAATATTGTAATCATCCCAAGAAAAAGGCTCTTATCCTTCATTCTATCTTCTTAGTGACCAGCACGGTATCCCCCATAGTTGATGTCTGATCAATATTCATTGACTTAATAACTAAAGTGGCTCTTTTTTTTAAAATTTTATTATGTTATGTTAGTCACCATACAATACATCATTAGTTTTTGATGTGGTGATCCAAAATCCATTGTTTTTGTATAACACCCAGTGCTCCATGCAGTACATACCCTCCTTAATACCCATCACCAGGCTAACCCATCCCCCCTCCCCCCTCCCCTCTAAAACCCTATTTGTTTCTCAGAGTCCATGGTCTAAAGTGGCTCTTTAAAAAATTCTAGCTTAAAGTGGTAACATCTACAAATATGTGAGAACCTACAAGTACAGTCAACTATTCGATTCATCTATCCTACTTCCAAACATTAATGTCATCTGTTCCTTAACTTTTTCAGGACTTCTTTTTTAAAATCGAATGAGACTTTAAAAGGTTATGAAATTTTATTGGTAAAAATAAATGATTTCAAATGAATTAATTTCCTATAAGCTCAGTAGATGAATCAAACTTTTCGATAATTATCACTTAATCTAAAATTAACTGCTGTTCATGGAAGAAGCTTAAAACAAATGATAGTTTTGCATTGCTGGTTGAGCCTAAATCTAATCTTGAACTCATTGGAATTATTTATTGTAGGGATCTATTTGGCTCTGTTTTGGAAAAAGCATAATAAATTGCCCTCTACTGATTGCTTCCATGTCATAGGTTTTAGTTTTTTCTGGTCACGTCTGAGGTGCTGGCCAATCCAGATGACAGCATGTCACTCACGTGTGGGGTACAACTTCCCTGCCCATCCTCATCTGTACTCAATGCTCCTTGTCTTTGTTTTCACGTGTTCTGGACCTGAGCTCCTCTCTGACTCCTAATCACAGAAATTAACTTGCATTTTCAGTCATTCAGTCAGAATATCATGACTCGTATTTTTCTATCCATTTACATCTCTTGGGCACCAAGGATGGCATTCCAACATCATGGTACTAAAGGTGGGATGTTCTGAAGGCCCCTAATGGACGATTTTCCTGAGGTTTTGGACCTCAGGTACTTCCACTACTTAAACTTAAAAATCAAAATTAAGAAACTTGAAATTGGCCATAAGCTTACCTAGAGCCCTAGTTTTCCTGGGTACTCCCAGAGGTGTGGAAACAAAGCAGCTCCATTTCTGAGAAAATTTCTGAGAATTAATGAGGTATAAGCCATACCAGATGGTGTTTAAAAACATGGAGTCTTAAGTCTATTGGCTTGGATTCAAATGCTGACAGTACCATTTAGTAACTCTATGACCTCAAACAAGTATTTAACGTCTCTGTGTCTCAGATTATTCATATGTAAAGTGAAAACAAGCCTTCTTGTTTCAGATGTGCTTCTAAGGCTGTTGTACAGATTAAATGAGATCATGCCTTTTAAGCCTAGCAGGTAGTAATCCCTCAGTATGGGTTAGCCATTATATTATATTCCCATATCGTCTTCTACCTCTTCCTGGACCTGTAGGGAATTCATGGAGGATTCCGTGTTCATTGAGAGTCACACCAGTGCCTTTAAATTTCAAATGTAGCATTTAGTCCTGTGGATGTGCCCTAGTCCTTCTGAGCCTCCAAGCTGGGGTCTGGTCCAATTCTGTGGCCCTCAGGTACACACAATGTCTCCCTCTGGAATCGCTCTAGGGAAAATGATGTTTAGAAGTCACCAGGTTATAGATCTTCTAGAAGCAGGATTAAGTGTCTCTAAGGAAGTTAAGAGCATCATCTTGATACTCTCATCTGAAAAAAATTAAAAGTAGCTCCTTTCCTCCAGAGGGAAAAACATTTTTGCCCAGTAAAGTGAAAATTTTACTACTTTCTGCTTCTTCCCACAGTATCCGTAAATATGCTGAGGCCATTTATTTTGCCAGATGGCTTCTGAGACCCTGCTGAAATGAGAGATGCCCTCATTTTATATTTCCCTCAAATTCTACCACAAACCACACTTCTTGGGAGAAAAAAAAAAAGTCGCTATGTAAGCATGTTTACCTTCAACGGACTAGGAAGCGGGAACTTGTCCATAAATGATGAGTCACCACTGCAGGTCTATAAAAGTAAAGGTGCTTGTCTGGGAGAAGGCAGAGCCTCCAGGCACAACCATCATGATGCTCCCAGGCATCCTGGCTGCCTTCCTCTTCTTGAGCTGGACTCAGTGTTGGTCCCTGCCTCTTCCCAGCAATGGTGAGGACGATCTGTCCGAGGAAGACTTCCAGCTTGCAGAGGTAGAGTATCTTGCCAGTCCCAGTGGGGTGTTACATCTCACAAGTGCCCTTCTCTTTTAAAAGCAGGCCATTCTGGTCTCTTTTCCAGCGCTACTTGAAATCCTACTACTATCCCCTGAATCCCGCTGGAATCCTGAAGAAGTCTGCAGCAAGCTCCGTGGTTGACAGGCTCCAAGAAATGCAGTCCTTCTTCGGCTTAGAGGTCACCGGCAAACTTGATGATAACACTTTGGACATCATGAAGAAACCAAGATGTGGGGTCCCCGATGTGGGCGAGTACAATGTTTTCCCCCGAACTCTCAAGTGGTCCAAGACGAATCTAACCTACAGGTAAATCAGAGGCTATCTTTCTTTAATCTTTGTTAGTTTTTAAAATAGTATTAAATGCCTATTTTTCAGCACAAGCTATAAATGACAGAACATGTTTGGTCCCATTTTTTTTTAAGTAGGCTTTAAATATTTAACTAGAAGTTAAATAATTCCAGCAATAACTTTAATACTATTGGTGAGAATGTGTCATGACATCTATTATTGTTACATTAGCCTAGCATTATTTTTCATTGGAAATCTCAAGGTATTTTTTGTTTTTAGAAAAGAAATCAAATTAGAAGTAAAAGTAGGTGTAATAAAATTTGCAAATGTACTACATGAGGCATATTTATTAAAGAGAGCTTAAAAATGGAGAGTCCTACTCTCTCTAGGAACTTGACAAAGTTATTTCATTTATTTAGATCACAGTAATACAATTCCAAATCTGTATCATACAATACAAGTTTCATTACATATCTGAATACTTTAAATGTAAGATTCCAAGTGGTCAGATATTTGGAGATACTCAAATATCTGATTGAATTCATTTTGTTATCTTTGTATGGCATCATAATTGATAAGTTCTTTGAAACTTTGGACCTCTAGTAGAAGTTTTAAAGAAGCTATTGCATTTTGAGTTGAAAAGCAGTATTCCAAGAAAATATATTCTCAAATATTTCTCCTTCCAAAAATGTAATTGAAACTTTCTCTGTTGAATAGGATTGTGAATTATACCCCTGATCTGACTCATTCTGAAGTTGAAAAGGCATTCAGAAAAGCCTTCAAAGTTTGGTCAGATGTGACGCCTCTGAATTTTACCAGACTTCATGATGGCACTGCTGATATCATGATCTCTTTTGGAATTAAAGGTAATGATGCAGAATCATTTTTGAGAGACATTTTTACATTCTGCTCCCTAATTGTCTCCATTCTTTTATTCCTTCTTTCAGTCATTCATTACTTTTTACAGAATTCACCAAGCATTTGTGCCAGGCACTGCTGGATATAATTGGATTCTTAACTCTTGCTTTTTGTGTGTAGAGCATGGCGACTTCTACCCATTTGATGGACCCTCTGGTCTGCTGGCTCATGCTTTTCCTCCTGGGCCAAACTATGGAGGAGATGCCCATTTTGATGATGACGAAACTTGGACAAGTAGTTCCAAAGGTAATATTTCTTATAAAGGTATGATTCATGATTACTAGATTAGGGTTAGACAGTGATCACATTGATAAGAAGTTAAGAAGCATACTGTAAATTATATTTGATAGTTGGTTATATTTTTCAAAAAATTAAAAGTTTATCTTATACTTATTTGTCTCTACAAGTGACATTTCTACAGACCTTTGTGAAACACTAAAAGTGAACAGTTTAGTTTAGCGACTTGAGGGATACTAGCTAACTTTGAATTAGGACCAAAATGTCTTTCTGTCAATCAAGGTGTTGTTACTGTGGATTACCTTTCAGTGTGTTTAGGAAGTACAGTTTATTACAAATACATACCTAAAAACTATTGGGGCTGGTTAGGCAGGTCACAGATGAGTTGGATGTGAGTTGAAGTAGTTTTTTTTTTTTCCTTGACAGAAACATTAATGGCACAAAAGTGTAATCTGTTTTCTGTTCTCTGTTATATGAGTTACTTGTTTCAGACATATCTATATCACTGACTTTATAAATACTATTCCAACAAATCAAGATGGTGTCTTACTCCAAACAGCGTGAGACAGACCAGATAAAAATTATACTTATAAGAGCAAAATGAAACTCAGTGTTGAATGAATTCAGTCAGTAGATGAATCTTCAAAGCTCAAAAGAATTGGGAATATTAATTTAAGAAGAGCGAGATTGTTCCAACTAGGACTTACCTATGGAACTATATTGACCCTTGGTTGTGACAGTTAGAGGTAGTCTTCATAGATAGCTAATTGTTATTATTCATTTAAATCGGAAGAATTGTTATTCCAAAAAGTAAAACTGGCCTTGGCTGACCAGTGCCTCTGCTTCAATGCCTCCAATATATCTTTGGAAGGAGAGGTGAGAATTTACGTATTTATGTTCTGAATATTACACAGGTAAGAATGATTTTAGGAAGAAAGACTAACATCTAGTATTGTTAAGATAGAGCCCCAGTAAACCTCAGTTTTAGGCTCCTGCATAAGTTCTGTATTTGAAATATTAATGGAAGTGAATGAAAATATTCATAAACAAACCATGATTGATTTTTCAGCTAAAAGCCAGGAATGGGATCTATCACTAGTCATTTCAATGAAGAATTGCTTTTTACTCAGATTGTGTGAACTTTGATCGCTCTTATGGTCTGCATGATTTACTAAGTTGGTTATACATTTTCTTCAGGCATAGGCTCTGACAGCAAATGGTATTTAAGGTCAAATTGAAACCACTGACTCCAGATTCCATGTGTTTTTTTTTCAACTTTTTATCTTTTTTTTTTCAATTTAAAATATCAGTATTAGGAGGCTCAGAAATTGGTAGAAAGAATGACTAGAGGAAATAATATAAATACAGTGACACGGTAGTCTTCTAAAATCGAGGAAAGTTGGCCAATCATTTCCAGAGTTTCTATTCCTTTAAATTTTAGAGTCTAGAGATATTCTGGAAAGGATCACTTGGTTGGAATTTATTCCCAAGTAGATTCCCAGAGACCCTATTTAGTGCATGCTCCATAATTGGTCATCATCCATTTGCATGATGCCTCTTGTTTAGACAATGTTCTAGAAACACCCTGATAGCTAGCTCCCTATGTGACTTCCCATGACTCCTTCTTCAAAGCCTCCATTGTCCACTTTCCTCACCTGCCCTGAGAAAACAAAGAGCGCATCAAGATTCCTAGTGCCTTCCCAGTAAATCCTCACTGATTCCCAATTACTTGAGAGCAATCTGTTGATATTCTAATTAGGTAGGCAGCTATAATCAAAGAGAACATTAAATTATAAGGATTAATTCAATATTTTGAATCTTCCTTTGAGCAACCAAATATTGAATATTAAAAAGAGTGAAATAGCCAAGAAAGAGAAAGAGGCAAAGAAAATAGCATTCCATCCATTGACTGGTCACTGCCTTGCTTTCACATCATTGCTTTGTTTTCTTACAGGCTACAACTTGTTCCTTGTCGCTGCCCATGAGTTTGGCCACTCCTTAGGTCTCGACCACTCCAAGGACCCGGGAGCACTCATGTTCCCCATCTACACCTACACCGGCAAGAGCCACTTTACACTTCCCGATGACGATGTACAAGGGATCCAGTCTCTCTATGGTAACTCTTAATTTATCAGTCTAGAAACAGAATAGATGCATACATTTACTTGCAAAATTATCAGTGAATTTATCATTACCAATATTGCTGTCCTGGTTCTGTTATTAAAACCTGGGAAGACGTGCCCAGTTTTCCTTTCTGAATCAGACCATCTGCTCAAGTAGAAAATACTCTATTCTCCAAAGATTTTGCAGATTCCTATTTGTATTTTATACCTTGCAAGGTACGTTTGAGTCCCACAAAACACCTCTGACATAAGGAAGGAAAATATTTTATTCCCCATTTAACCAATGAAGAAACCACACCCTGTAGCACTTAAATAGTATATCTCTAGTACCATGGCTGAGGGTGAAAGTGTGGTCTTAACCAGCTTTTATAAATTCTGGGTATTCCTTCAACCATGTCAGTTTGCCAACGTAGGATCTGTTCAGGTGGCCTGTGGTGACTTTTAATCAACATCTACAATGACCATTGTAAGAATCTCTTCCTTCTTTTTTCTTCCAAATTTTCAATAATATTTATAAAATAATTAAACCTCACCTCAAACCAGCAAAATTGCCTCTATTAATAGAGTTAAAGTTATCAATGTAAACACTTCTAGAGCAGCGAGCTCAGAAACCTTGCTCATGGCACCTGGCCCATCATTCCCCCTCTGGACTGAAATCTACTACCACAGCTTGTGTAGGTGTGGGCAAGTGCTTTGTGTTTCTTACTATTTCTACAATATTGTGACCAAGGGACTTGATGATAGAACTAATATGAACCAGGTGGAGAAGCAGCAGCTCAGAATTGTTACTGTGCATGCATGGCACCTGTTTTGCACTCACCTGAGCTGGGGGAAAGCTACAAACTCGTGGCACGTCAGGGCTGCTGAAGGCCTGGCTGCTCCCTCACAGAAGCGGTACTGGGGTTAACTGGTGAAGTGATGGTGTCAGACGTTGCTAGTTGGTAAAAGAGGCAAGAGATAGAGCAGAGATGAGGACTCCCACAGGGACGGTGTGCCCCCAGGAGTGGCTTGAAGAGAAATGTGTATCTCAAGAGCAGCCTGTTCATAGCTTGTGCCAAGGATGGGGAAGTTTTCCTCTGAGTTTCGTTCCCTTCCCCATCCACCCATTTCTGTCACCAACCTCAAGAAACCCAAAGATGTAGTTGAGAAGAACCTCAAGGGGTCTTGAGGATGGAAGCAGGAGGAGCAGGCCCACCCACAAAAGCTTGGTGACCCCGCAGGAAGGAAGTAGAATTGCCCGGTGTTTGGATCCTGGTTATAGAAGCTGAGGACTTCCTACCCTCCCTGGAGGGGACCCTGCGACTCTCCACTAGCAGGGGCGGGGCATCAGGAAGTCTGGCCTCACCACCTTCTTCGCTTCATGTCTGCAGGCCCAGGAGATGAAGACCCCAACCCTAAACACCCCAAAACACCAGACAAATGTGATCCCTCCTTATCCCTTGACGCCATCACCAGTCTCCGAGGAGAAATGATGATCTTTAAAGACAGGTACTCTTGATCTTATTTTACACAATCTGCATGTCATGGACATTTGTGAGGCTGTGTCTGCAAATAGCCAAACATTCAGTCACATTTCCAAAGGAGACGTTAACAGCAAAAATCACAGATTTTTGGTAGTTTGGGTTTTTTTTTTTTTTACATGTTTCAGATGAAATAAATGACTAATGGATAAACACTTTACTTTTCCATGGCTAATCTTGGCATGACGCAGCTTCTCTTCACAATGCTGGTGGCACTCTTCCTCATAAAGATAACCAAGTAAATATAGAAACCCAATTTATTTATTTGAAAACACAAGTATTGAAATCAGTTACCATATCAGTAAACCGTGACAACGTCCACTTGAGTTCCTTTGGGTCTGGAAAGACTTTTGTTCTGGTGACACATGTGGAAATTTGAGAGAGTGTTTACAACCTAAACCTAAGGGTAACAAAAAACGAGATATGAATTTCTCACTTCTACCTTGTTCTAGTATTGTTTGTTCATTTGTTCACTTATTCATTCATCAGTTGCTCACAGCAAACTCTATATTTTCACTTTGGTGCTAGATTCTTCTGGCGCTTGCATCCTCAGCTGGTTGATGTGGAGCTGTTCTTAACAAAATCCTTTTGGCCAGAACTTCCCAACCGTATCGATGCTGCATATGAGCACCCCTCCCGGGACCTTATCTTCATCTTTAGAGGTAAGCCTCTCCCCACATGTCCAGGGCAGGCAGTGATGAACTTGATGCTCCTGGAGTCTTAGCACAATGACCACTCCTGAAAAAATACCCAAGTTAAGAGCCAAGCATAACAAAATATTAAGCAGAACATACTTGGAACCTTTCTACCAAATGTCCCCAAATTTGACAAGTAAAAATCTGCATTAGTACTTATCCTTACAAATGTACTATTTGTTGTAGAGCAGTCATGTCAGTTTTTTCTTACTTCCTCTTAAAAATTATTTGCTGAGCAGACATTATGACAATATACCTCTTGAAACATTGAAAAAAATATTATCCATAATTCCCTCTTCTGAAAAGTTGATTTATTTCATTTTCTCACCTTTTTTGGTTAGTCCTTCACCATATGTAATATGTATTTTTGAATATTTGTATTCATAGTATATATACGTTTTCATATTTTACTTGTTCTCTTGACACAAAATCACAGACAGTTTTCCATACTGCTATTCCGTCTTCATGATCATCATTCATAATGGCTACATAGCACTCTACTGACATTGTTTCTGTTGTTTGACTATTACAATTAATGCTATAATAAAGTCACTTTCTATCTGGTATAAAAATCTGAGTTTTCAATCTAATTCAATGTTCCCTCTGCCCTGCTTATTCGTGAAGAAATTTTAATACATTTTCCACACAGCTCCAGATTAACAATCAGAGGTAATATGTTGCCAAATTAATTATATTTGGTTGGTAATTATACTCAGGAAGTTAGCATTTTAAGTCTTATTTTTTTTGTTTGAAGAACGCTCATATTTCTGTGTTTCATAAACATGGTGACCACAGACACTAACTGATTTCTAAATGTATAAAATGTATAAAATGAGTCTTTCTTTGTTAAAGTAAATATCTACATAATGTGAGTCCTAATAGATTACCTTGGATAATAAAACCATTCTTTCACTTATTCTAGGCAGAAAATTTTGGGCTCTTAATGGTTATGACATTCTGGAAGGTTATCCCCAAAAAATATCCGAACTGGGATTTCCAAAAGAGGTTAAGAAGATAAGCGCAGCTGTCCACTTTGAGGACACAGGGAAGACACTCTTCTTCTCAGGAAACCAGGTCTGGAGGTACGGCCACCATGTTTACTGACCCATGACCCTGTGTCACACGGGCCAAGTGAGTCCTACACTGCTCTCACTAGTTTAAATAATTCTGTCATGCTCATCCAGTGGAAAGGTTGGCCAGGAAGCTGCTGGGCCCACGGTTTTTAAAGTCAGCCCCTTTTTGAAGGACAGGGGGAGTTGGAATATTTAGAACATATGTCGATATGAAGGCAGCCCTGACACTGGCAACATTTAAGAGCTTAGAGCCATATATATATATTTGGGAATGAGAATATCTCATAGGAATCCCACACTTGAAAGATTTAAATCAGTAGCTTTACTTTATGCGTACACACACATGCACACATTCCCATCTGTGTCATCTTTGCTGTTTGGCTTCCTTATTTCTGACAATGACATTCACTGCTGTCTAAATACTATGACCAAGTTCTCCCCGGTACTGCTGTTCCAGGCCCTATGCCCTAGATAAGGTCTGTGATGCAATGAGGGCGTGTGACTTACCAGACTGCAAACACGCTGTGCTTTTATCCCCCCATTTGGCTGGAAGGTCTTTCCCTTGCATCTCTCCCTCTTGAAATTCTACCCTCTGGTCAAAGTTAACTGGAAATACCATTTAACCTCAAAGTCTTCTGGAGCACCCCTTCACAGGCTGTCTCTTCTCATATCCTCTCATGGCACTGGATGTCTCCTTGTCATGATGCTTGGCTTCCATTGCTTAGTGTTGCCTTGTAGACATGTCCCACCTCTCTCCACAGTTCAGTGGTTCTTGTCTTTCACCTATTGGAACATATCTCGAGGATAGGAAACTCTCATCAGTAACAGTAACAGTGGTGCATGAAGGGAGGCTGTTCTAGGCTAATTTCAGGATGTGTGTGCTTTGCTAGGGTGTGCCTCTGTGCAGGGGAGGTGGATTATGGAACTGTAGCAATGGTAGGGGCGAGCCATGCTCCCCCACCTAGCTTCAAAACCACCAGATGCCCTGATAACTTTTTAGTCCAGGAGTTATACATCCAATATTCTGGCATCCGTTATTGCACTTAGCAAGCTGTCTCACCCATGGTGGGAGATCAGCACATAGTTGTTCAATGCACAAACATGTATTTATTTTGGTCTAAGAACACTTTCCTAATAACACACGTTTATAACAGATATGCAGTTTGTGAAGTGGAAATGATCTTGTGATTATCTTTTCAAAGATGGCCTTTAGACAAGGTAACAAATGCTCAGCAAGCATCCACAATGCACCCAATATCATAATTCCTAATTTGCAAAAGCTACCAGATGTTCTAAACAGACTTAAATTTTACAACTCTTGTCAATTTTGTTTTTTTTTAATTAAAAAAATTTTTTTAAAAGATTTTACTTATACATTTGACAGACACACAGCGAGAGAGGGAACACAAGCAGGGTGGGTGGGAGAGGGAGAAGCAGGCTTCTCGCTGAGGGGGGAGCCTGATGTGGGGCTCGATCCCAGGACCCTGGGATCATGACCTGAGCTGAAGGCAGACGCTTAACGACTGAGCCACCCAGGTGCCCCAACTCTTGTCCATTTTGAAAGGTGTCATGATATCCACTGTATCATTTCTGAAACAATTTCTAAGGAATACGGCCTACTTAAGAATTTCTTTTTCTTACTACGTAGCTATGATGACACTAACCAGGTCATGGATAAAGACTACCCCAGGTTAATAGAAGAGGACTTCCCGGGGATTGGTGATAAAGTGGATGCCGTCTATCAGAAAAACGGTAACTAGTTCCATCATGCTGATCTCAATGGGGGTTTTCTGTAGCCCCTCAAAGTATTTCCCTTAGAGAGCAGTTTTATACAGGACTTAAAGGTGCTAAGAAACTTATGGCAGTTAAGGAGTAGTTATGTAGGCAGCAAACAAAACATAACACACTTAGAATAAATGAAAGTGTTGCTCAAATGATTGCTAATTCTTTAAACTTTAAACATGATCTTATTTTTAAAGATTTTATTTATTTATTTATTTATTTGAGAGAGGGAGAGGAAGAGAAAGTGGGGGTCAGAGGGAGAGAGAGAACCTCAAGAAGACTCCCCGCTAAGCATGGAGCCGGACGTGGGGCTTGATCTCATGGCCCTGAGATCATGACCGGAATCAAAACCAAGAGTCAGATGCTTAACCGAGTGAGCCACCCAGGTGCCCCAACACTATCTTAAATTATGCTTAATGAGGGCACCTGGGTGGCTCAGTTGGTTAAATGACTGTCTTTGGCTCAGGTCATGATCCTGGAGTCCCGGGATTGAGTCCCGCATCAGGCTCCCTGCTCAGCGGGGAGTCTGCTTCTCCCTCTGACTCTCCCCCCCCTCATGTGCTTTCTCTCTTTCTCTCTCTCTCAAATAAATAAATAAAATCTTAAAAAAGTTATGCTTAATGATGCCAACAGTCAAAAATTATTGCCATAATTTAAATCAGGGGTAGAGTGGGGAGTCATTTATATAGAAAGACAAACGACTACCGTAACTATATAGTTATTTTTGCTTTAATTATGAAAAGGGGCATTTTTCCAAACTCAGATAACTAGTATCAGTATGTCAAGCATCAAAACTGGAACTCATGGCAAGATGACCACGATTTCAGGGTGATAATTCAGGAGACCTGGGAACCTTGTACATTTTTTCCTCCCTTAAACCATAAGCAATATAGTAAGGCATTCGTAGGGTTTTAAACATAAATGTTGGCATCTTAAAAAACAATGGGACCTAACAGGTTGTACTTTTAACGTGAGCTGGCGTAAACTCTTACTGATTTCAGACTCTGAAATTTTCTTTTTGGTCTTTTCCTTATAGGTTATATCTATTTCTTCAATGGGCCCATACAGTTTGAATACAGCATCTGGAGTAAGCGCATTGTGCGCGTCATGCCAGCAAATTCCCTGTTGTGGTGTTAAGTGTCTTCTAAATATTGTTATTTAAATCCTGGAGAGCATTTGAGAGAATACTTCCAGCGATACTGGGTGCGGGGGACGGGGGATGTTGGGGGAAAAGCTTAGTTCTGTGAACAAGCTTTGGTAACTTATCTTTGAATAGATGGTATCTGGACAGTGACATGTGGCTGGAACCACAATGAATTTTAAAGTAATGGAATATTCAGAGACTGTAAAGATCACCTAATTCTTGCGCACTACACAGAAGCAGCAGTCGACGGTATTTCCCACAACAGAAATGGGACATATGGTGTGTCAAAGAGAGTTAGCATAATGTTTAAATATATTTATAAGGAAACTTTGCAAAGGCATAGAAGCAAGTCACAGTTATGTAATTAATGAATCATCTTTATTAAAATGTGTAAAATAGTATGAGAATGGAATTTGCAGGGAGCATGTGGTACCACGAACAGACAGAAACCAAAGGGAAATATCTGTAATAGAGCTATTGTGGACAACTTTCCAAAGAAGTGATTTTGGTTTTGCACTGAGAATATTTGAATGTACATGCCCCCCTTCCTCCTGACACTAGGATCAGTCACTCCAGATGAGAGAGAGGGCCCAATGCCGAGGACAGTAGATGTGGCCTGTGGGTTCGGTTTAATTCTCACTGTTGACCGTGATTCCAGGCCTACTCTCAAAGGAGACTTTTTTTTTTTGCATGTTCTACAAGATAAAGAGAGCCCATCTCTCTTTGTATTCAAACACTTCCGGTCTTCCAAAAACATCAAAGAATTAATATGGCTATCACAGCAATCAGAGGCCATGGCATCATTCTTTCATAAAGCAACTGATTCTTTAAGATGAAAGGTAGTATTCTAGCCCTGTCTCACCTAGATAATTGCTTTAATTGTCCAGTTCAGCATGGATAAAGAGGCTCTTTTCTGAAAATATAAAGTGTATCTTATAAATTGGAAGCATGCTAAAACGGAGACATCCAAAGTAAAGAAAACATCCCGCTGGACTACAGTCCTCCTGAAGATGTGGAAATGTGCTTCTCCTTCTTGTTCTTCTCTCACCCCGGTGCAGCTTACCCTGCCCGGCGTGGGGTGCTCACTGAGTGGGGGATCGGCCACAGCTGATCTCGTTGTTCACAGAAATTCAGGCGAAGAAAATAAAGTGTATCATATTTGCAAGATGTGTCAGGAAGCGTTTATACTGTTTATAATAAAAAGGATATTTTCAACAGACATTATTATAGTACACTTTGTCTTTTGGTGTAATTTTAGGCTTTCCTCACACAAAGAGGATCCATTTAAATTATTCCTTTTTCTTGCCCATATTTCTTGGTGAATGTAATTCACTGTTTTGCTTTGTTTGTTTGTAGAAAGACTACATTCAGAATTAAGAAGTAACTGTCCCAGGTCATGTTAACAGGAGCTCTGCCAGGGTTTGGTCAGCTTCAGGCTGATGGGCCCACTTCCCCAGGCGGAGCTCACAGTTCCTCAGACTCTGCCCTGCTGGGAGCACTATTTGGAAATGAGGTGGGAAGAACACTAGATTGGGAGCAAGGAAGACTGGGTTCTAATGTGTACCTTGAAGCTCTTGGGGCCTGACTCTCTTGAGGTTTAAAACGAAAGTATTGCACATTGATGAAGTTGGGAAATATGGGGAGGCAGGGAACTGTCATGAGGAAGGCAAACACTCTCTGGGAACCTCAGGGTCCCCTGAGCGTAAGACTAGGTTCCTTCTGTTTTCCTAAAGACTGTCCATCCCCAGACATTTAGTAAGTGTCTGTTAAAGGTCAAGTGGCTAAGATGTTGAGATGAACTAGAAAAACTTGCTCTCTACCCCCTAAGAACGTATTTCCTACAATGGAGGCAAAATGATTAAAATTTAGTAAGTTAAGTGATTTTGACAGGAGAATGACTGGTTACTGTAGGTGCAAGGAGGGCTGCTGATTGTTTCCTCCCAGGGCACCCCTCAAAGTCAGTCTCTGCACTGTTCACCTTCCTGGAATGTGTCATAAGATTCTTCTAAGGCTTGCTATTGGAGTAGAAATGCCCATCCACCCATCCATCCACCCACCCACCCATCCATCCATGAACACATCCATCCATCCATCCATCCATCTATCCATCCTTCCATCCATCCTTCCATCCACCCACCCACCCATCCATGAACACATCCATCCATCCACCCATCCATCCATCCACCCACC